CACCATTTTATTTTTTATAGGAAGAAATATTGTAGAACATCAATAAAACTAAGTAGATAACTATATGACACATCACATAGCTCTCCTCCGATTCATTGGATTTTGATCCCTACAATTAATGGAATTGAAACTCAAAAATACTTACAGGGATCAAAATCCACCGTATTTGGAAGGCATCAGATCAAAAATCCCTTGTTTCTGTTTCAGAATCATTGTGAAAGAAAATTGGCTAAATGTTTTTGGGAAATGTTTGCTTTTTCTTTTTTAAGTAAAATTTGAAGCAAACAAATAGGATCATTTCCAAAGCATTGTGGTACAAATAAAAATAATGTGCCACATACAATTGCAAAGCAAGTCCTTCCTTTCAGTATTGATGCCATGAGAAAGTAAAATGGCTACTGCAGCTTTATCATGAGCAACTCTTTGGTAATCAGGCCAACTATGGTTCCCACCCTCTGCCATCCATGCTAGCTATCATATAATTGTTTTGCAAAAGAGTCCAGGAAGCAGTTCTCAGTAGAAAGCTAATACTGGTATAAGGAAAAAAAAACAGAATTAATAGAATTCAGAAACTTTGCACAGTCCCCTTTAAGATTCCATGATGCTTGCTTCATTAACTATTTATTTTAAAGCTATAAACAAAATGATGTAGGATTATTTTTATGGGTATCATCCCTCCGTGTTAACTTTCAAACAAACAAGGGTGACTTATTCGACAAATGAATATTGGAATTGCTTGCTTCAGCTTTGCTTCTTCCCTACCGCATAGCATGCACAGATGTTTGTGTATTTTATAATTTATCCATGCAACTAACTTATTAAGCATTCACTTGTCAAAGCATTACTTAGTTCAGAATTTCCTCCATGAGACGATAGCTACTTACTTATTTAATTAATTCATTTTGCAAGCTAAAGAGGCAGCCTCATGTCCGACTTTACCTATCATTTGTTTCAATATTTATTTAAGGAAAGAAAGTTGGATGAAGGTGAAGAATTCTTTTCCAAATGAGAGTACATCAATATAAGCTAGATATTCTATCACTATCACCCATAACTTTGGATAAGATTATATGTTTCTATCATTTGACAAGAATTGACTGGGTTCAGATTTGTAAGCATGGATTTCCACTATCAAAATGAAACATTCTTTTTCACCAGTAGCCCCTCTCTCTCTTCTCCAACATTGGCTTGCTTAAACTTCCATCCTTTTAGAGAAGATTTCTGGGATGAAATGGTAGGAGACTATTTCCTTAATGATAAATAGATTCTTTTAGATTCCACTCTGTTTTTCAGTTGAAATATAAGCCTTTCCTGGCTTTTGACAGATCTCTGATGCTTTTCTGATTTTCAATCTAAAGATCTAATAAATTGTGAAAACCAACATATCTTACATATGAAACTCAAAAGGCACTCTGTTTTAGACTGAAGCTGCAGAAAAATCATATAATGTAATTAAAAATAGTTTAGACAAGATTACTATCTTTTGACATTAAATTAATGTATGCTATTACAAAAAGAGACTGGCCTTGCGAAAAAGCAGGCACACGTGTCAACTGTGGGGATTCCATAAAATCCTGGAACATCCCAAACAGAAATTGTATCATTTGGATGTTAAACAGAACAGTTTTTAAAAGTTTTAGGGTGGGAGGCACAGTCAAGGAATGCCAGAAAGCAGACTTTGGAAGTATTTTGAACTAATAGGTAAAATTAAAAGTTAAAAAGAAAATGCTCATAAAATGGGACTTTTGAAGATAGTAGAAATATTGCAATGCATATATTTTTGTGAACTGAAATGTAAGCAACACCAGGGAGGTCTGGAAAGGCTTATCTATTTGCATAGGACGAGCAAGTAGAGGAGACATAAAGCAAATATATTTATGTTATATACCATTTTAGTGCCGAGGAGAATAAAGCAAATACTCAACAAGAGTTGCTTGCATGTCCAAGATTCTAGCAGCTACTCTTTTTTTAATATTAACACAAAAAGTGAGTGGAAAAAAAAATTGCAGGACAATTCAGTATATACTGTATCTTCTCAGAGGGAAGTCCTACTGAGTTTGAAAAAAATTAATTCCTAAACTTCAGGTAGGTACAGCAGCTTTTTCTGAGAAGGCATTCTCCAAATAGCTTGCAGTTAAACCCAAGTGATTTCCTAGCCATTTTTTCCTGGGAACTAAGGAGCTCAAGTGTGCCAAAAGTGCTTTTAAAAAGCAATTCCCTTGAAAAACTGAGAACTGAAGAAACTTCTTAGATGAGAAGCAAAACATCTTCAAGGGGAAAAAAAACACAAGAACACCCAGATGCCTTTTGAAAAGGACCTTTGGAACAACCCCGACCTGGATGATCCAGTAAATCAGGCAATTTGGGATTTCTGCATAAAGGGTGAGAGATTGTTTAGCAAAGATGGCCTTGAGATGCCTGATATGGCTAATGACCACATGGCTGCAGAATCATGAGAGGTGACTTACAATAGATATGAGGAGTTTCAGGTTGGAAATGATCACTATTACAGAGTAGGAATTGTTTTAAGCTTCAGTCAGGAAATAGGTAAGGACTCCTGTCCTGCCCTAACCGTGACACCAGGCCCCCATTTTCCACTTATCAAATCTGAGATTTATTTACCCATCAATGAGGTACATCGTGCTATGGTAAGAAAAGCTACTGTAGGTTGGAGATATTTTCAGAAAAGCAAAATTTCTGTCTCCTAGGCTGGCTGAATGGTCTTCAGTTTGATACCTTGTTGAGAAAGCAATTTTCAACTGCCCAGGGAAATCATTTATTGAGCCCAGAACATTCTGGCAAACTGTAGGCACAATTAAACCTTCATTTTCATCACTCTGTATTCTGTTACAGGCACTCATCGCTTCTTGAAAAGTCCATTGCCAGAATGTGCTAGGCGTAATAAATTACCATCTAATGTGAGATTTGCTCTCACCTTTTTTTCAACACTGATTTTCTCTGTTTCAAGGAGAGGAATCATAATAGTTTTGATTTCTTTTCTCCTTACTGTTACATAACTGCCTTTTTAAACTCTTGTTATAGGAAAAACACAAGTGTAAATATACTAATATGAACAGTTATGCCAGCTGGAAACAAGCTCTAAGTCTAGCCAAATCAAGGCCATACAAGGAATTAGTACTTTCTCACTTTTCCCAAGAAATTGGTCTCTTTATATCATGCCAGTCAAATATATTTTGAATTCATAGTTTCCAAACTATCCAGATGGTTTTGACTTAATGTCAGAAAAAACAATTACACTTCCTGATACTAAAAATACAATTTAATAATGGTTTCCTACCCTTTTATGGTATCCAGAATCTACCATCTTAGCCAGTTGCCACATTTTGTGTAATGATAGGGTGTATCTTGGTACTTGTGAACAGCTTATAGGCCTGAGTTGTCAAACTGATTTTTACGATATCTATGGAGATGAATTGGTTATTATTCTGTTGACTTGTGGCCTCCTATATTTTTATATTTGAGATTAAAATTGGTTCCAAGCATAACACTTCTTTTGCTTTAGCCATAAATAATCTCCAGGGTAATAAAGATGAAATAAATACTATTTACAATGAATTATTTCTAGGATCTTTTTATAGCTTGGCTTTATTTTATTCTCTCAGAAATGTACAATGTTGTCTTCTCTCACAGGTGGAAGAACAACAAATTTGTAGTACACTAATTTATTTGTATCAACAAAGTTTTTTTCTCTTTTTTTCAGTCTTTTATATTGTAATGGGAGAGAACAAGAAATGAAGAAAAATCTTCCATGATTAACGTCCACAGTTAATATGTATTCTTCAATATTAGAAAAAATAAAGACTGTGGAAATTTGATGTAATTTTATATGCAGACTATTCAGACTGTGTGTATCTTTATAGTTTTTGATTGGGCTGATGAGGGAGTGCTGTATTGCAGTTGTTGAGTAGAAGCAAACATAAAATGACTTATCCACCCCAAATTACATGGCTGACAATGTGAGGCAATGGTGGAGGCTATGGATGGATGGAAACATCTTGGTGAAGGTGTTATGTAGTTCAGGGGTCCCCAACCCCTGGTCTGTGGACCAGTACTGGTCCACGCAAACCAGTGAAGCCCCATCTGCAGGATGCAAGCAGCATGAAAACCTACACCCCCTCCGGTCCGAGGAAAAACCTCTCTCCATGGAACCGGTCCCTGGTGCCCAAAAGATTGGGACCTCTGATGTAGTTGTCAAATTGTTTGGAGCTTCAAATGATGCTAACCCCCATAATTTTTACTAATTAGAACCTTCACTTCAGTTATAACCTGCTGCTGCCAGGACTGAGATAATAGAGAAGTAACCCGGAAATCGATTCTAGTTTCTCCGATAAAAGACCCAACGAGTCACCGAAACAGATTCGGAAACATTAGTCGTGTCATCTACGACTCAAAAGTGTTTTGATTGCTTCAAAAGATATTGACACAAATTTCTTGTAAAAGACCTTAAGTTTCTCTGTACGTTATGTAAGAAAAAACTTCAAAATCAAACCTGGAATGCAATTTCTAGTTTTCTCCCCTATTTATCCTCAAAATTCTTCCCTTCTAATCACCAAACTTCCTTCCTTCTTGTCACCTACTTGACAATAGGAACAGCCAATGTAGAATATCTTCCTCAAAATGAGAGCAAATCCACTCTCTACTAGCACTGATGATTCACCTAGTGTGGTAATGAAACATCTGCAAGAAAACAACCGAGCTCAGTGAATGTGTACCCCCTAGCCTATAATTTAGAAACATATAAAAATAATATCCTGTCGGAAATTAATTTTGAGCACATTTTTAATATACAAAGATAAAAACCACCTTGGAAAAGCCTTTTTTGTATAGCCTAAATGATATCTAAGATCATTTATTTATTTGATTTACTTTATAGTCTGCTTATTCTTTATAGTCTGCTTATTATTGACCAGACAGCAACAAGACAACTAGGAAATGTGAAAGTTTGCTGAAGCTGAAATGTTGCTAATTAAGATGCTTACCAGAATTTTTATTGGTCTTATTCTGTCTGCTCTTTACTTGCTCAGTCCATAATGTAGGGTAGCGAGAAGCTATATCTAGAACAATAAAGAACAAAATCAGACTGTTACAATGGAAAACTCATTGGTACCAAAGTATATTGATTCAAGGAAATAAAAAAATGTAATAAATGTGACAGGACAATTTCTTATTTACGACGGTATTTAGAAAATAGCATGACAATATTTCAGTATAAATACAATGCATGTAACAAATGTTCATGTTAAATAGCTTTATATTACACTAATAGTGAATTATGATCCTGAAATGCAACATTCCTGGCATAAACCCAGAAACAACATTGACTGTCTGAATAACCAGGGTGAATCATGAACAATGGAATAATTTTGGAAAAAGTGCTAGTAAAGCTGCCAGTTTTGGAAAGATAACAATTTAAAAAAGTAATTACGTTTTACTCAAAATGAAGTCCCACTGTGTTAAACATAAGATAGATTATTAGGAGTGTAGATTTAGATGCAAAAATGACAGCTAAGAAATATGTCTATGTACAGCACCTATATGTCTGTCTGTCTATTGGTCTATCTATAATTTTGTGAATGATTTAGAGGGTTTGGCTTTCTCCTTGCAAATGGGTCTTCTAGGGCAGTGATGGCGAACCTTTTAGAGTCCGAGTGCCCAAACATTGGCCCCGCCCCTGCTCCACCCCCTGCCCTGCCCTTGCTCTGCCCCCATACTGTCCCCCACCCCGCCTGCCCGCAGGGCCACTCACCGCAGGGCCCGCCACAGATCGCCCAGGCATCCCAGCAGCGCCATGGCAGCCGCGCCCTCTGCCTGCGCCCCGCAGCATCAACTGTGCGCGATGGGGCATGAGGGCAGAGTCTTGTTTACACTGCCTGGCTGCCATGTCTTGGCTGCACTGCTCCATGTGGGCCACTCTCAGGGGCGACTCCTCCAGGGGGGCTGCTGGTGAGGAGGGGTGGTGGGGGGGAGGCGAGGCTGGGGCAATGGCACATTTGCCCACAGAGAGGCTCCGAGTGCTGCCTCTGGCACGCATGCCATAGGTTCGCCACCACTGTTCTAGGGTATCTCATACCTCTTAGTCTAATGACGTGCTATAATTAAAAATCCTCTATAAATACTTTTAGAGATCTAGGTTCAAAAGCAACAAAAGATCCTTGTGTTATTTTAAAGTCTAATCAAGTTATGTGTGAGCATTATCGTAGTTATAATCCAACACAACTGGAGGAAAATGTATCTAGATTATTAGCTAGATTCGAATCTACTTCATCAGAAATAGGAAGTGACTTATTTCCTTTCAGAAAAGTATCTCAAAGAATAGAATAAAAAAATAAACCCTGGCCATATTTCTGTAATATTATATAGACAGTTTCTATAAAAACTCAGCTAACATGGCCATAGCCTTCCCTTCCCATTTCTATAAATTCTCACCTTCTTCATCTCCTTGAGGCTGAGGCTCCAGTGCAGGAGCTGAGGCATCATCTGAATTCAGAATGGAAAAGATTTGCAAGGAGACTACAATTATGAAAGTAAGCTAAATAAGTGGACATATATAATAAATGATTCGAACAAAGTCTGTTATTAATAAATTAACAATTGAATTTTTTTAACCACACACATCAGAAGAAATTATATGTGTAAGTATTTTACAGCATTTTAGTCACTGTACTGATTAAATTAGAAGCATTTATGAGGGTTTCTGTCATGAGCAAGAACATTCCTGTAACCCCATTCAATCCAACCTAGATGTTTCTTATTTTCGCTAATAGTTGCATCACATCCATGAAAACAGGATAAAAGTGTGCACAAGTCATACTTTGAAAAAATCACAAAGATCTCACATTTATTTTAATGTACTTATTTATTCTAGGTAGCAAATGCAATGCTTAAATAAAATATCAAGCAGTAAAAAATATTAATAATTCAAACATGGATTTTAAAGCAGAACAGATTTTGGGATTTGAATTATTTACAAAGCTGGCTTAACTAAAGCAGCTTTATATTTACAAGACTGTTCAATTTGTGTTACTTTTATTTATTCATAAATTGCTAGCTACCTGGAATCCCTTGAATGTGAAATAATGAAAAAATGCATCGGTTAAAACAAACTTTTGACAGTATGCCTCTTTCAAAAAGATTTACCTTCCTTCTTTTAGTTAGAGATACTTGTCAAAAAAATTCAGATGAATATCTTAAAAATCAGGGGTTAAGGTACCCAGAAAGGTATGACTCATTTCTGTCTCATAAGAAAACAATTCAGACATTTTTCATATATTTTCTGTGCATACTGCAAACTAGGCTGTAAGAAATAGCCCACATATAGACTACAACAAAAACAACATTGCAATGTACCAAATTGTTGGTTGTCTACACCAGGGGTACCAGGCCACAGCATGCCAGCAACTGGGCCACACAAACAAGCAAAGCCCCATCCATGGGATGCAGGCAGCACACAAAACCACGCAGTCTTCGGTCCGTGGAAAAACCTTTCACCACGGAACCGGTCCCTAGTGCCCAAAAGGTTGGGGACCTCTGGTCTACACACTCCAATTTTGTGGTTTTTAATACATTTTTTATTTGCTTTCTTCTTGCAGTGTATTTTTTTTAGGGGAGGGTTGTTTTTCCATATTTCTAACTCACTTACTAAGAGAAGATACAGTATGAAGAGATCCAGGGTGTAAATGTACAAATTAAAGGAACAATATATGAGAAAATATTCCTCAAGTTATAAAGCTTTGTAAAATAATGCTTTTATCATTTACATCTAAAAAGCAGGATTGGAAAATGTGTTTACTTGGTTAACAGTCAATTCTGAATAAAAAGCTGTAAATGTTCACCGTATCCTCTAAAGAAATGAAAAATTGTGTCTTTTAAAAAATGGACATTACACTTCTTTGTGTTTAAAAAAAAGAAAAAAAACAGCATATGCATTGCATGTATCATTTACAAAATATATCTGGGCACCCCCTCAGTGATATTTTACTTGATTCTTCTTTCCCAATTCTCCTATGAAACCTGAACAAGCAATAGCACTTAGACTTATATACCGCTTCATAGTGCTTTACAGCCCTCGCCAAGCGATTTACAGAGTCAGCCTATTGCCCCCAACAATCTGGGTCCTCACTTTACCGACCTCAGAAGGCTGGAAGGCTGAGTCAACCTTGATCTGGTCAGAATCAAACTCCTGGCAGTCGGCAGAGTTAGCCTGCAATACTGCATTCTAACCACTGTGCCACCATGGCTCATATGTTATTTCTATTCTGCTAGTAAGACAATGCTGCAATGCTGATTATTCCTAGAAGATGTTGGTCATGGTGATAATATTGTCTAAGATAACTATCAGCATATGGGGTTTTACATTGCTCTATTTTATCTAGCTGTTTTTATACCTACTTCAGGAATGGATACCTATGGATCTTCTGGTGTTGTTAAAAAAAANGGCTCATATGTTATTTCTATTCTGCTAGTAAGACAATGCTGCAATGCTGATTATTCCTAGAAGATGTTGGTCATGGTGATAATATTGTCTAAGATAACTATCAGCATATGGGGTTTTACATTGCTCTATTTTATCTAGCTGTTTTTATACCTACTTCAGGAATGGATACCTATGGATCTTCTGGTGTTGTTAAAAAAAACCAAGATAGTCTAGTTGCCCTTTGGAAAAAGCACCTTTTGGATGAGTGAGAATATCCATAGACAGTCAAAGTTACAATTTAGCTGTGTCTAGAGGGGCATCAAGTTCCCTTGTCTACTCAAACAGAAATTTTGTACTAGTGTCCTTAATGATAGATAACATGCCCCACAAAATAGATCATAGTCATATTGTTATCAAGAACTTCTCTGTCCAGTACTATATAATACTATTGTGTTTTGCAGTTGGGCTACATTATCAATGGAATTTGTGACCAGAGGTGCCATAGTAATGTTGTTAGTAATCTGTGGGAGGCCAGTGATTTTTCTTACCTAAAAATTGAATTACTGCATTTAAATATACAATTCCATCAGATAGGATGGAATGATAACTCCCAGTGACAGCGCTGGCTGGATTTTAAAGTAGCTCAGTTAATAATGATTGTTTGTCAGAGAAAGCTCAAATTTAATAATGATAGGATAGCCAGTAGTCCTTTCTGTTTTAGGCAAAACATAGCTGTCTTTTACTCCTGCCCTCTGAATGATCAGTGAACTGTCAAAGTTCTCAAGTTGTATCTACCACCTAGATTTCTCACCTAATGTCCATGGAAGCTATCAGCATTTTCTGCACAGAGCTACCTTGGTCACATCTAATGGGGATTCTCATCCTGCAGCCCCCAAAACAGGTGGGTAGTCTGAATCGTATCAGTGTTTTAAAATGTAAGTACCAGAAGAACATTCAAAACTGAATGCAGCAGAGGCAATTCTATGTACGATTCTGTTCTACATGGGGAAAAAAGTTCCATGCAACCCTAAAGCAAAATATAGGCAACTAAATAAGCACTTTCTGTACTTTGAAGTTCCAATTCCATTTTTAAATATTTGCATATTTTAAATATTTAAATATTTTAAAAGACTGAAAATATAAGGAAATGTAAGAAACATGTTCCTTACATAAGAAATGTAAGGAAAATATAAGAAGCAATATGAACTGATTCCTGGAAAACTTTTCAATATAAAAATGCTCTGATGTTTCAGAATCTATGTTGGCTATGGCTGGTCAACCGGGATCTCTTAAGTATCATTCTAGATATTTAAGTAATGAGGTATTAAACCTTAACAGCCATCCTGCCAAGCTTAAGTAAATATGAGTTGTGGCAACTGTCTGGCCTCAGCAACAACCAACATACAAGCAGAACCTTGCTCTAGAAAACATTCAGCTTCACACCTGCTTTTGTTCCCCCGTGTCTCAAACACAGTGTGTAGCTGGAGGCTGATGATAAAATTTCTTTCTTCACTGCTGCTCTGTCTGAACACTCAGGCAAAGTTTAAAGACTACATAGCATATTTAGTACTTCGCGTACTACTAAAAATATCTAATTTATGACCTATATTGAGTTTCTTCAGAAAAGCACACTGACATTCGGAGCTGACATATTTGCCTGGCAATTGTATGAAAGAGCAATCGCCCTCAAGTAGCATATATACACAGGCTCACATTACTCAGTTGAAAAGTTATATTTGTTTTTATATGAAATGGTTGAGGGTGCTACGGTTCCTACAGGAACATAAATCAAGAATAGTTATATAATGTTGAACTGACATTATACAACTTAGCTTTCCTGAGCTTGGACACTTCATTGCAAATCATTAAAGGGAGGAGGAGGAGGAAGAGGAGGAGGAGGAGGAGGAGGGGAGGAGGAGAAGGAGAAGGAGAAGGAGAAGGAGAAGGAGAAGGAGAAGGAGAAGGAGAAGGAGAAGGAAGCTAAATAAACTTGAATGTATATCCCCATTAATTTTGAGCATAAATCTATGGGCTACGTTGGAAGGTACAGTAAACTGGTCCAGACAGATATATGAAAGATTTTAGCACAGAGACATAAAAAGTTGTAAAGAGATAACATTAATAAAAGCAGTGGGCTCTGAATATAATCCATCAGTTTAACTTATTATAATAAGTCATAGTCAGAAATTTAACCTCCATTATCAGAGGACTGAATAAAAAAGATCTCTATAGTTCAATCTTAAATAGAGCAGATTCTAGAAAAAGATGCAGAATGATCCAGAAGGTAGGAGCCAAGAGTTTAAGGATGGTTAAGTACCACACAAATCCCACTGATTGCAAGTGAATGGTATGTGAGAATTGTAAGATTTCACAAAAAGAAAATAGAGACAATGGATTTGGGAGTGGAACATGAGTAGGACTGAATGAAATTGAACTTAATAGATTTAGCCAATCTCACTTTATTTGCCAAACCATCATTACATCCTGTTTCTGTTAAGACTTTTAAAAATACCAATTCAATACTAAAATTAATTAATGTAACTATGCACATTTTTACTAACATGCACCTGTAGATATATTATTTTGCCAGCATTTCTTCCAAGTCATACGTTTCATAGTTATATAGACATTTTACCTAGATTTTTAATTGGCAAAATAAAATTGGGAAATGCTAAAAGAAAACTTCCCAATTATTGTACATGTGCTATTTCAGGGACTACAAAATTAGTTAAATTCCCATTAAAATACAAACTAACCTAATTTATTCCTTCCCCTAGGAGGGAGGGGAAGAAATATTCATGATTCCGTAAATTAGAATTGGGTAGCACATGCGCAGCAATCCCTATTATCCCTCACAACTCAGCCACATTGGCTAAGGTCAACAAAAGTTCCATGTTGCCTATCTCTGTCCTACTGTAATGCCCTCTGTCCTACTGTCCTACTGTCCTACTGTCCTACTATCCTACTGTAATGCCCTCTACATGGGGCTCCCTTTGAGGAGCACCCGGAGGCTTCAACTGGTCCAGAATGCGGCCGCGCGGGCGGTGTTGGGAGGGACTCGTCACTCCCATGTAACACCGCTGCTGCGCGAGCTGCACTGGTTGCCAGTGGCCTTCCGGGTGCGCTTTAAGGTGTTAGTTACCACCTTTAAAGCGCTCCATNCTGCCCTCTGGAACGAACTACCCCCCGAGATCCGGATTATTCCGGATCTCCTTACTTTCCGCCGCGCCCTCAAGACATGGCTTTTCCAACAAGCGGGCCTGGCCTAGGGAGGATTTTAAACTGGGTTTTTTAGAAATTTTAATTATCACAACATAAAAATTTTGGTTTTAATTTGGTTTTATTCGGTGGGGTGTGTGGGTCTTTCTTTGTTTTAATAATGTTGTGAGCCGCCCTGAGTCCTTCGGGAGAAGGGCGGGATATAAATTGAAATAATAAATAAATAAATAAATAAATATATTAAAGATAAAGATTTCCCCTGTCCAGTTGTGTCTGACTCTAGGGGGGAATGCTCATCTCCATTTCTTAGCTGGGGGATCCGCCATTGTCTGAAGATGCTTCTGTGTTTATGTGGCCAGCATGACTATATGCCAAAGTGCATGGAATTCTATTACCTTCCCATTGAAGTGATACCTATTTATCTACTCGCATTTGCATGCTTTTGAACTGCTAGGTGGTCAGGAACTGGGATGAGAACTGGAGCTCACCCCTTCATGTGGTGCTCAGGTCTCAAACCTGTTAACTTTACAGTTGACAAGCCCAACCATTGCCCCCCTCCCCCCCGGTCCTACATTGTAAGACCTATAAATCCATGTAGAAGCTTAGAAATCCCCTACTATCCCAGAAGTGCTAACAAAGCTTTTGTTTTCTTTGCATCTCAATAGAACATTAACAAGAAGACTGGAGAACATTCATAAAGTGAGCCTGCTCCATTTGAGAAGGACGAGAAAAAAGAGGGGGGAAAAACAAAACAAAACAAAAAGACAGCATGTATACCTTGGAGTCCAACCCTGAGTCCCAAGTATAAAAAGTAGAAATAATATAGCTAATATTAACATCTTTGAGGTATGCTGGAGCGTGGGAACTTACTTTCCTTCCTGGGGTTCAATGAAAATTACTAATTTTAGGGTCAGGGAAAATAAGTTTTTCCCACCTTGCCAAACGGGTAAGAATAAAACATATTATAATTCTATATATGAATAATTATCCATGCTTCTTTTCATCGGGAATAGGTTAGAAGCACATTCCAGCTTGTACTTGGAAATGTCCAGCTAGAAAAGTGGTTCTCAACCTGTGGATCGGGACCCCATTTGGGGTCGATCGACCATTTCATGGGGGTCGCCAAGCAAGGCTGTCTGCCATTTTTTTTGTCCGCCATTTTTTTTGTCCGCCATTTTTTCCCCTTTTCTGGCGAGTGCCTTGGGCTGGGCCAGCTGGTGGTCGGCCTGCTCCGTCTCTGCCGCTTGCCAGCTACGCCTCAGCCGGCGTAGGAGGCGGAACCATGCATGCGCGGCGCTCCCGGGCAGGGAAAGTCCTCGACTTACGACCGATTGGGTAGTCCTCGACTTACGACCGGTTAAGTTCTCGACTTATGACCGGTTTAGTCCTCGACTTATGACCAGTTTAGTCCTCGACTTACGACCGGTTGGGGTCGCGGCATTAAAAAGGTTGAGAACCACTGAGCTAGAATATTCTTAAAAATATATAACTTTCAATTAATACATTGAGATGAGTTCTCTCTCTACTACCAGGGAAATTTATTTTCAAAAATGTATGAAGGTAGATGCTTGAAATGGCAGGATACACAGCTCAAAGTCATGTGACACTAGTTTTGGATCAGGGAGGCTGAGATTTAAGCTGTTGCTTTGAATCCCTCTGGACACTTTATAGCCAGTTACTCTTTAACAGACTAGTAGGCTATCTCATTAGATTGATGACTGCTAAGTGCTACCTCAAGTTTCTCCAAGGAATAGCAAATTTGTGGAGTCCTTGGTGCTCTCTGAGCTTGGGGGCTTTCCTATGGACATTTAATTGCCAAACTATGTAACCTCATCAGTGCACTAATGATGTTACCTATTTTGGTAATGAAATGTCTTCAAAAAAAACCCCCACCAAGCTCAGAGAACACCAAGGACTTCACAGTTCAACCTTGACCTACAAATATTCATTTCTATCAAATAGCAGACTTATTTACAGATTAACACTCTCCAATTTTAAGCAATGCAAAGGAGTCAATGCTCTTTTTCATCTAGATACAGCCAAAAAAAAGAATGTGTTTAATCAATGAAACATGTACCATTCCTTGTTCCCACTTTATACTGAGATATATCCAGGGAAAAAAAATAGATAGTCTAAATACTTCATTGAGGGATAGTTTCACACTTTTCCAGGAACAAATGGTGATGGGCCTGATGTTAATACTAGGTTTAGCAATGAAATAAGAAGCCTGAGTTGCTTTTTTTGGATCCACTGAAATATATTGAACTCTCTATAAAAGAAAACAAGTTTTCCTACCTCTGGGGGCTGATTATATATAATTTATAATATTAAATACTATGATATTTACCTGTTTTTCCTGTGCCTTCACGCTGTGGCAGCTTCTCATTTAGAGACCCTTAAAAGTAAAGCAAAAACATTGTAAGATAAAAAAAAACATTGAAAGGAATTAGTTGTGTTACCAAAATTCAAAGGGAGCAGGAGAATCACTGCTTAGGCATTTATTAATGTGGAGGAGAGAAGAATAAGGCTTTTCATAGGTCTTTTATTTCATAATGTATCATTCCATAAACTTATTCTATATCTCTGGGATTTATAGTGCTTGACTCATAGGAAACTTTTACAGAAGAAAACAAGAGATACTGCATGTGTATTGTATTTTAAGATATTGTAAAAAAAAAAAATTGCAGGGAAAACTTAGTGAACAATACCTTTCAGCGATAATTGAACACCTGTTTCAAAAGTTCCTTTCCCAAAGGTTCAATATTTCTGGAATTTCTTTTAGCTCCCTAAATTTTGATCTCTTGACTTGGGGAGTAGTAAAAATGTCTGGGTTGCATCTGGTGCATTTCAACAAACAGTTTGTGGAGGATGGGAACATTTAACTTTATGCAGCCGATGAAGCCGATCTGCTTTACACTGTACCTCTCAAGTTGTCCAGTGCTCTCACAATAACAGACTAATGGTGCATGGAGGTGTCTGCCTCACTATTATGAGTTACAACATAGTTTAATGCTTTTTATCGGATTATACTTCAATGGAGAGTACATAAGAGAGGAAAGTATATAAATGGGTTTAAGCTAACACCTGACCTATTTTAAAATAAGGATAAACAAAAACTTCTCAACCAAGTGTGCATTCCACTCCCTTTAGCTAAATGTCTCAAAAACTGCTTCTTTCAAATGGCAACTGGACTTTTTATATTTTTCTTGAAGACATTTCACTTCTCATCCAAGAAGCTTCTTCAGTTCTAATCAACTGGTTGGGAATGGAAAGAATTTATATTCTCATTATAGCCCCAGATGGTTTCAATGACAGAGAGTTAACGACTGGCTGACCAGAAAGAGTATCACTCCTTTCCATTCCCCACCAGTTAGTTAGAACTGAAGAAGCTTCTTGGATGAGAAGTGAAATGTCTTCAAGAAAATTCAAGGAAGTCCAGTTGTGGTTTGAAAAAAAGCACTTTTGGAACAACCATGACCTGGATGACTGAGAACCTCCGTAGACATTTATCTAAATGACTTTGCCTGGAAGAAGTTGAAACATAGTGGCCATCAAAACTGAAATGCTATTGACAAAAAAAATAATAATACACTACTGTCAGCATACAGTCAGATAACAAATTATCAGAGATGTCAGTCAATGAATAGACTACTGACTGGAAGCTTGGATCAAAGAGATTTGGATTAGTTATAGAATATGGTGGGTAGCCTAATGGGTATAACCTGAATAAATCTATTGAAGATTCAATTGGACCATCAAACAGTGACTGGCCAGACAGTCGTAATAGATAGGGGTATTGCCAGCGCCCAATAATTAAAAAAGAAAATCCAAATTAAGTGGTTAATTTATCTTGTGATAAACTTAGGCTGGAAATATTTAAGCTTTTAAATAAGCGCTTATTTATATATATTTAAGCCCTGATGATATTAGCAGTTGCTGACGAAAGCTTGGCGTTTGTATTAAACTTTTGTAGTTTAAAGATTTTCCCTGGTGTTCACGTTTATTTGTTTATTTTGAATATATATATATATATATATAACAAAAACAAAAATCACTCATGGTCCAAAAGACTGCAAGAAACACAAAAGTATAGCAATTTAATATGTACACACTTCCATCTAAATAAATACTTGCCTGCTAAAAACACAGTCCTAACATATATGAAATTTCAACTTGTGAAAGTTCCCTCTTTATGTGAAATATGTGATCCAAAAGACACAGGTCACAAGATCCTGTTTCATAAAATAAAATAATTTTAGCTTTTTGCTTATCAGAAATTGTACAACTTGTGGTTGGTACAAGTTACCATTAGCTCCAGTTACACTGAACTTTCTGCAAAAATACCATGTTCCGAGTAATCTCCAATGGTCAAAATTCTTCCCAATGCACACTGAACTTTGGCTACATCATGTTCATATGTGCATTCAAAAAAAAATCTTGTAAAATATGCTGAATTTAATGGAACGTATTTGGTTGGGGAGGATTGCCTGCTGCTGTTAGAGCTTCCATTTATTGCCTTTGGGGGGGGGGGGGAATCCTTAAGATCTGGAAATCATTTTATTGACACATCAAAGGGATTACTATGGGCAAGGGATTTATTAGGATAACCAAGGCAATTTCTTTCCCCAAACCAAACCAAAAACCCAAATTGAAGGGAACTGTTTCCTGAAGGAAATACAGCTGCCATCAACTATATTGAGAAGCCATATTCCTCTCTCCATCAAGTGCCACTTGGCATCAGCCATTCCATCAGGCTACACAAGAGAAAAAGATGGAACAAGATTACTCCACCAGCTCAGTGGGAAACTCTTAATTTATTGATTTCTCTCCTTCAACTGCTTTCTTTAAAAACATTGTAACTAAGAATTAGTGAATGAGATCATTTTTCTTACTTTCCTCCAGATCGCTTTCTCTATCGGTAATAGATCTTTTAATACTAGATGATTGTGAACAGGGATGGTTTTATTAATACATCAGCTACTTTTTTGGGGGGAAACGGAGAAGAAAAGAGAAGATCCATAGAGATATCTGGGGGACCAGAGGGGGTAAGTGCAGGATTTAGTGTTAAAGTTCTTATTATTGTTTAACTGGGAGTGGCCTGATCTGATATAAAATGGTATATCATGGTATAATGTTGTTAAGGCTTCCCACCATATTTGATTAGATAAAGTTATATGCTCCGTTGTTTGGAATGATTAATTCCACCTTTATACCTGAAAGACTTTTGAAAACAAATAAGCTAAGAGAAAAACAACAACATTCCTTCACCATTTGAGTTGGGACAATTATGATTCAGATGAAGAACATAGCAAACACTGAGATGGTGGCTGCATGATATGTATTTTATAGATTGTGGGCTTATATCTGATAGTCATGACTGTGTGCTTGAAGACTTGCTTTGTGATTTGCTCCATAATTTGCATCAAAAATACTAATGAAAAAACAAACACATCTAAAGATTTTTGTTTCTCCATGAAGAATACTACGCTGCTTTCTTCCATGGCCCTCTCTGAATATAGCCCTGTTTTACTTATCCAAATATTCTGCTGTTTTAACAAGATAGGATGCACAGGGCCAAGCCTGCAGATGGGCCAGCTATGGTCACTTGTCCAAGAATCATGTCTAAAGGACAACCAAACTGACTTGAGTATTGTACAATATAAAAATACAATCTATCAATATATAATTGATATATAGCAGGAGTAGTCAACCTTGGCTCTTTTATGACTCGTGGACTTCAATTCCCAGAATTCCTGAGCCAGCTTAGCTGGCTCAGGAATTCTGGGAGTTGAAGATCACGAGTCATAAAAGAGCCAAGGTTGACTACCCCTGATAGAGATAGGGATAGATTAGAAAGAGACACACAGAGAGAGAGAGACAGAAAGACAGAGAGACAGACACAGAGAGAGAAACGGTGGGGGGGGGGGGAAATAGTATTTTACATTTTTACATTTTCAACTCACTATTTTTTTCACACCTGATAGAGGTTTTTTAAAATATTATAGTAACAACAAAACTGCAATTAGTAGTAGTATCTATTACTGAGGCAAATCTGAATTTGTGTTTAAAACAGGAAGGAAATATATACTCTTTCAGAACAAGAATTAAAGGTTGTTGTTTGGAACTTACTCTGACTTTTTTCCCCAAAGTTGACATGTGATTCTATTATTTCTGGATATGATGTTCAATATAACATGACAATTATTTGAATGTGTATGCATTCCCATTGTAGATCTTTTAAGACCAATTTTTTTTTCTTGAAGTATATCTTATATGTTAACAGTATGAACATTCCAAATAAAATTAGTAAACAAGAAATAGAAGAGGGATTTGGTCATACAACATGCAATTCTCACCAAAATCATCTCAGTCTTCAGTCCGAAAGATTTCCTAGGATAAACATTTTGCTTGAATTTTCAGGATCACTCCCAACAATACTATCTAGGCCCTGATTTGCTAATGAGCAGGCTACAATGATTCTCCAGAATACTATAAGCAACTGTGCTCATGGGAATAGTTATGAACTGTGCAAGTTTCAAATTATTTGGGAAATGTATTTTTATTTAGTATTATGCTTGCTACTCTTTACCAACAAGATGATATTTATACTAATAGTTTGTGATCCACACAAGCTACTACAATGATGGACAAATATAATAATGTGTTCAGTCAGTGCCTTATAAATACTGGTAACATAAGCTCCAAAGAGCAAATCTGTAAAGGAAACTTTTTGGATTTCAGAACTGAAACACTATAATGGGAACACTTTTTCTCTTGAGGAAACCAAAATATGGACAATTGCCACGTGAATGCAAAATGATCCAAAACTATCCTGTCTGGAAACTGTTTTCTCGTCATTGGGGCTTTTTTGTTTTGTTTTTTTGTTTTGCATTTACAAAAATGCCAATTTTGTACTTAAAAACAGTAATATTGGAAAAGTCAGACATTTACAAAACAGTCACAATAAAACATAGGTTGCAACTTTACAGGCATTTTCAATTTAAACTAACTCCTCTTTTCATATCCAAACTTCTTCCCCAGAATAATTCAGCTGTCATTCTTTATGAATGCACATAATTGGCCATAATAAAATTTATGCCAGAATCCCAAGTATAGAATTGCAGCCTGAATGTCATACTCAGGTCATTTGAATTTTGCACTGAAGATTTATTAAATTATACTTCTTAAAATAAGGTCAGCAGGAAATTGGTTTATTGTTTAAAGTACACTTATCTATTACTCTGTGACATAAAGTTCATGGCTCCACTAAAATGATAGGAAACCAAACCTCAGAGAAACCAAGAAGAAAATGCCATAAATATAATGCTCTGTGAGGCTCAATAGCCAAAATATAAATTAGACCGTTGCAAGTTCTCTGCTTGGGTCTACTTTTGAAAAGTATCCAGATGTTGCAACTAGCGTAAAATGGGATGGCTAGGTTGCTAATCAGTGGCACAATGCAGGGAACACATAAAATTAGAATTGGAGATCATCCAATTGGCTGGAAATTTACCAGGCATATGGGTGCACTTTCAGAACACCAAATGGCTTAGGGGCTGGCTATCTGAAAGTTCACCTCTTACAAATCTACTTGGGCAATATGATCTGCAGAGGAGGCCCTCCTGATTTCTTTTTTTAATATGTTTGTGTGCGTGGACACAAAGACCCACTTTTTGGTCATTGTTGATTCCTGTGACTGCCTGGACTAGCCCAATCTCTTTTCTTGGCACAGTTTTTCTGGAAGTGGTTTGCCCTTGCCTCTTTGCTAGGGCTGAGAGAGAGAGTGACCCGCCCAAGGTCATCCAGCTGGCTTCATGCCTAAGGTGGGACTAGAATTCATGGTTTCACGGTTTCTAGTCTGAGCTTCGTCTGCTATACCAAACTGACTAGCTGGCTGGCTCTCTCTCTCTTTCTCCCTCTTCCCTTCCCTTCCTATGATTAGAGATTCATTTACCTGACAATCACCTACATTGCTCCCAAGATGGAAAATGCATTCAGCCCTCACTTAACAGAAGACAATCTTTTACTTCTTAATTGTTAATTGTTAAGTACACTTTTGAATGATTATCTCTTTTTGTATTCTATGTTTTATTTGTTGTTTGCAGAACCAATTGGATAGAAAGGTACAATAATAAACAAATACTTAATTTGGCAGGTTATTTTCTGTATGTGGATACTTTGATTCAGTGTATCAAACTTGGCCCTTTTATGACTTGTGGACTTCAATAGGGTCTTAAGGAGTCGGTCCGTGAGAACGACTCCTTAAGACCCTCAGCTGCAGGTATTCAGTATTTTCCCGGTTCAAACTTCTGGGGACACTATCTCTCATTCTTTTTCCTTCTTGTCGAAGACGGTGTCATTACGTATATATCAATGGACCCGTTGCACCTCAAAATACACGATGTCGACATGGCGACTAACCTGCTCCATTAGGGGTGACACACCAACAGTAGCCTGTGTAACTGTGGCACTGAACCTGTGGAAAAAATGCCAAGTATTTGAAACTCACAGAAAATATTTTGATAGCTCACATTTTCTTGAGAGATATTGTTGATTTTTTTCAGGTTAGTACCTATATTGTGGCACTGAACCTGTGAAAAAACTGAACCATCCTTTCCATAGTTTTGCAAAAGCCAGATTATATCAAAAAGCAATAGGGCCATTTGTTTTTAATGGATTATATTAAATGGATGTAGCTTGAGGCTTGAATGAGAATAGACAAAAGCTGAACCCTGTGATCTGATTGTGGAATCACTAATAATATCTTCAGTGGATATTCAGTGACAGCTTATTCAGTCATTTTTTTCTTCCTTCTAATTTGCATGGATGGAAAAATAAAATGATATTATAGGGGACTGGAGGCTAAAACATATAAGGAACGGTTGCTGGAATTGGGTATGTCTAGTTTAATGAAGAGAAGGACGAGGGGCGACATGATAGCAGTGTTCCAATATCTCAGGGGCTGCCACAAAGAAGAGGGAGTCAAGTTATTTTCCAAAGTGCCTGAAGGCAGGACAAGAAGCAACGGATGGAAACTAATCAAGGAGAGAAGCAACCTAGAACTAAGGAGAAACTTCCTGACAATTAGAACAATTAACTAGTGGAACAACCTGCCTCCAAAAGTGGTGAATGCTCCAACACTGGAAGTTTTTAAGAAGAGACTGGACAGCCATTTGTCCAAAATGGTATAGGGTTACCTGCCTGAGCAGGGGGTTGGACTTGATGACCTCCAAGGTCCCTTCCAGCTTTATTATTATTATTATTATTATTATTATTATTATTATTATTATTATTATTATTATTATTATTATTATTATTATTATTATTATTATTGATTGTACAACACACAGTTGAGTGTGTGTTGAATTTCAAATTCAAATTGAGTCACAACTTTTTCAAATTAATACATTATGGTGATGTAATATGAATTAAGCTTGTCCATTTATTTTTGTCAGTTTGGGGGAATACCAGTAAAGAAGAAATGTTTCTCCAAAAAGCTGCAGCTTTAAAGTACTCTTCTCTTATTTTCCTTATTTCCAAAGCACAACTCAATGGTGGAATGAGAATTAGTTTGCTTTAGTGGTTATGGGGTTGGACAATGAAAACCCAGATTTTGGTCCACTCCCAGACAAAAAAAACCTCTTTGGATGATTTTGGAAAAGCTATTCTCCCTCTCAAACCTATGTTTCTCAACAGGTTGTTTTTATATGAGGAGGGTGTGCAATGTGTGTTGCCTTGAGCTCATAAATATCAGGCAGAATATAAATGCCACTAATATAAGCTGCCTATAAATTTTATAATTAAACAAATAAATGTACTACTAACACTGTCATTGTCAAACCTTTAACTAGGTGAAAAGGTGTGTCATAGGACAATACTTTTTGATTCAAAGTACTTCATATGAGCTAACTTACAAAATGCATCCAAAATCCAGGACCCATGATCCCTGAGGGAATGAAATTTGGGGAAGTTGTGGCTATTTCTGAGGACTCAGATTGTTGGGGGCAATATGCTGACTTTGTAAACTGCTTAGAGAGGGCTGTAAAGCTCTGTGAAGCAGTATATAAGTCTAAGTGCTATTGCTATTTTAGTGCTACTGGTGGCAGCTATGCTTCTGGGCTGCTGCTGCAGTCATGCGACCTTCATTTTCAATATTTCATGACAGTTTCCCAGCCAATCTTGCTCACTCACTCCTCCACCCAGCAGTAGCCACCTCTGTCTGCAGGGAAGGGCAGGGAAGGGAAGGGAAGGGAAGGGAAAGGAAGGGAAGGAAAGATTTTTGATACTTCTTGCCAGATTCCAACAGGAAACTCATTGGGGAAGCTGCTCCCACTGGGTTTTTGCCCATCCTTTGTCATTCAATTTCTCTGTTTAGCTAAGGAAATATTTCTGAAATGATAACCCAATGGGGCATGGGTTATCTATTGAAAAGACATAATGTAATAACACATCACACTGTGGTAGTGTTCTTACTGGCCCTCATGGGAGAAAGAAGTGAGCCATTCTGTTCCAAATCCAAAGATAAGAACAGTGAGCCTCTCCGATACTGCTACTTCAAATAATGAAAACATATTATTATTATTATTATTATTATTATTATTATTATTATTATTATTATTATTATTATTATTATCATCATCATCATCATCATCATCATCATCATCATCATCATCATTATTATTGATGATGATAATAATAATAATGATAATAATAATAATAATAATAATGATGATGATGATAATAATAATAATAATAATAATAATAATAATAATAATAATAATATCTTTTTCAGAAATCACAAACATCTCTTTCTTGTGTTTGTGTGCTCTACTAAAGTATGGAGTGGATATTCATTCCAACACTCCATTAATTAAGAGGTCCTTGGTGCTCTCCAAGCTTCGTTGTTTTCTTGCAGACATTACATTACCCAACTAGGTAATATCATCAGTGCTTGTGATGTGGGGGTTCGTTCCCTGTTTATATACATAACTTGTCCTGACAACATTGCTGAGGCTCTTGTTGGTACTTACTTGATTAGGGGATTGTTTTCTGCTTGATTGTTTATCTGATATTAATCCCTGCTTGTCTGGGTATAGGCTGCTGGAAAGGCTGTGTTCTTTTTTACTCCTTATTATCTGTTTTGAATGGTGTGTAAATGTGGTTTGTCTCTATGTATCTGTTAATGGCTGATTTGTCTAAACATCAAGCTTCCAGGATTTCCCTAGTGTTTTTGGATTTAGTCTGGTCTAGGATGTTTCCAGAAGAAACTATGGTTGAATCTGTCCATGTGTTGTGAAATTAAGGAGTTTTCATCATGTCTTTTGCTTGCAAATTTGTGTACATGGATATGCTCTGCTAATCGTCTGCTTGTCTATCCTACAAAGTAGCTGTAATAGTCTTTCTACTGTATATTGTAGATGACTCCTGTTTTTCTTCTTCTTGCATTACTGTGTCTTTGGTTTGATAGAGAACCCATATTAGTTTTTTGATAGACAACCCACACTAACCCAGTTCTCCATTACCAAATAAACAGCCCAACTTCCCACAAGAAAAGCTGTGCCAGAACATTATTCAGATAAGTACAAATATACTTCAGCAACACAGAACAACCAATAAAGGAGAATATTTGTAGCTCAGGGTTGAAATGAGGGTTCCCCCCTCCCACAGAACAGAACACCACAACACAACACAAAAGGAAAGCGACCATCTATTTAACATCTTCCAACAAAATGTATTATTAAAAAGTGCCTGACCACTCAACCCACCACAGCACAACCAACACAAACTATGAAAAGGATAACATTGTCATACATCAAAAACATCTCAAAAACAACTAACAATTACAATCACACAGCATCATTGTAGCATACAAACAAAATAAAGCCTTCCAAAACATCTTAAAAGACCCAGTAACCCAAGAAGAAAAAAATAGGAGTCATCTATAACATATGGTGTAAGGACTGTAACAGCTACTATATGTACAGACTGGCAGAAGACTAACAGGATGCATCCACAAACACCAACTAGCAGTCAGAAGATACAATGAAAGCTCCTTAATTAGGGATCCTACACTCAGATAAGCAGGGATTAATACCAGCCAAACAAATCAAGCAGAAAACAATACCCTACTCAAGGAATTGGCAAGGAGAAAACTACACTCCCACCAATACTGTCAGAGCAAGCTACTGTACATAACTTCACAGCCACTAGCATTGATGATGTTGGATAGTGAAAATCTGTAGGTAAACAACCAAGCTCAGAGAATACCAAGGACTCCACAGTTTATGCTGTAAAATGCTATAAGTAATATACCTGTGCTTCTTAATAAGCATTCACTTTTAGCTAAATTAAGTAAGTAATTCAACAGATAGTAACCCAACTTTCAATAGAATCTCATAACATTTTTCATTAGTAGAATTTCTTCCATCCACAGTGTAATGGAATCTCCAGATTTCTATGCTTCCTCACAAGTTTTTCTGGAGAGTCCTCAAACTTCCAAAATGTTTTTTGAGAACAAGCAAGATTTTACTGGGTGGAGGAAAGGAGGAGACAATCAGAAATAGCAGAAAAGTACTAACACAACAATGGATATCATTGTATATATATCTGGCTGAGTTTACAGGAAACAGGACACATTTTCACAATACTGCTGGAAGTAGTATGAGATCTTCATCTTAACATCCTTCAGAACTTAGGAATTCAGGAATTTAACAGTTAGATATCTTCTTATGAGCTGTTTTTACTTCAGAAACAACACAGAGCACACAGGGTGACATGATAGCAGTATTTGAGGGGATGTCACAAAGAAGAGGGGGTCAAATTATTCTCCAAAGCACCAGAAGGCAAGACAAGGAACAATGGTTGGAAACTGACCAAAGAGAAAAGCAACCTGGAATTAAGGAGAAACTTCCTAGCAGTGAGGACAATTGACCAGTGGAACAGCTTGCCTTCAGAAATCAAGGGTGCTCCATCACTGGAGGTTTTTAAGAAGAGACTAGACAGTCACTTTTCTGAAATGGCATAGGTTCTTCTGCATGAGCAGTGGGCTGGACTAAAAGACCTCCAAGGTCTCTTCCAGCTCTATTCAATTCTGTTCTGTTCTATTCTACTTTAGAACCAATCAGTGGTAACTCCAAGTCAGAAAAAGAAAATGAGATTGTTAATCAGATGCTAGAGCAAGAAATGGGTCAAAGGAATAATCAAGAATTGTTGCAATCAACCTGGCTGTAAGTGCCATCATCGTTGCATTCCGGGATGAATACTTGCTGGAACTCCTTGCGTGCTTGTTCTTGGGTATATTTCCTCTCCGCCACACATCGTGAAACATCTAAAGAAATGAGATAAAATATTAATCCCTGTGCAAATGAGAATATCACAGAATTTGCCTTTGTTGCAGCAGCATTTCGCTACATACGCTGGCTTCCAATGGAATTTAGTTGAAAGCTATGAATAAATGGGGCTGAAAAAATAAAGTGACAGCCACTTTATATATTATCTTTAATTTTAACCATGCCCCATGTGCCACATAAATCATTCTTTTAAAAAAAATAAAAGCATCTGTTGAAGCCCAGTGCTTTATTTGGAAGTCTGTCAAAAAAAAAAAAAGATAAAAAGAGATCCAAATAATGTAACACCCTGGAAAATTAAAAGAAGGATGGGAAGTAAACTCACACTATCATAGAATCTTGGCAGTAAGCTCATAATATTTTCGTAAACTTTAAAATGTGCCTATCAGTTCAAAAACATCTATTGTGAATGCTATTGGAATTAAACACTATGTTCTAAGTCAGCCAAACAACATTAGTACAAAGTAGAGCTCAGAGGAATTTACATTCATGTAACATTCATAATACATTCTATAATCAATAGATGATTATAGAAATGTGATATAGATGCTATGTCAAGTTCCTAATTCAATTTCCATGTGTAGCTCAACTCAATTGGTATTCTAACTACTTGTACTTGTTTTCATAATGTCATCAGAAGGAAGCAGAGGAATGAACACATTTTTAAGAGGAATCTTAAAAAGTCTTGTTTTAAAAGAGCCATTTTCAAAAAGTCCTTAAAAGCCACACTTCAGATAGCCCTCCTTCTAATTGACTTATTCAGGTAGGAAGCCTAGCCCACAAAGATTAACTCTTTTTACAGGGTCACCAATATACCATGAGCAAAAAATCTGACAAAAAAGTTGCAAAAAAAAAAAAAAATCTGGGGGAAAAATGAGACACCAATGGCAAAAACCTGGTTACCTCCGAGACCGCCTTCTGCCACAGATCACCTCTCACCGGCCAATACGCTCCCACAGAGAGGGTCTCCTCAGGGTGCCGTCAACCAGACAGTGTCGGTTGGCGACCCCCAGGGGGAGAGCCTTCTCTGTTGGAGCCCCCACCCTCTGGAACGAACTACCCCCAGAGTAGGCCCACTAAGGCCTAGAGGGGTCCTTCCGCCGCGCCCTCAAGACATGGCTATTTCAGCTGGCAGGACTGGCCTAAGGGGTATTTTAAATTTGGTTTTTAAATAACTTTTAAAAAAAAGGAAGAAAAGGCCCATATTAATATTTCTTTTTAATTACATTTTAAATTTTGTATATTGTATTGATTGTTTTGTTTTAAACTGGCTGTAAGCCGCCCTGAGTCCACCAGGAGAAGGGCGGGGTATAAATGTAATAAATAAATAAATAAATAAATAAAAACAGTAAATTCAGTGTCAGATCTCCAAAGACAGAACTCCACACACTCCAGATTCACTGTTTGGGATCTCACCAGTAACTCCAATGGGTAAAGCTAACCAAATTACAATTTTGGACTCCCCCCTCCCCTGCCATGCCTTCTGGATAAAAAAAATGGGATGTGACACATGTTGTACAGACAGATTGTAGCTGTACACTGATTTTTAATTTGTTTTATATTTACTGTTGTTAAATCTATAAGTAGAATTCTTTGTAAGCCTTACCTATTATAACCTGGGATACAGTTATTAAAAATTGTGTTCCATGGGTTCACACAATTTTTTTCACCTATAGCTGAAAGCTCAAATATTTTGAAAAACTCTAGCCAAAGTGCATTTTAAAAGTTAGGGGAAGCATTCAAATCATGACATCTGGAATTTCTCCAATCCCAATACCAAAACTAGCCACACAAGGCATCTATATATTCTGCACAACAAAATGACACATTCAGTCTGTTTTTTCCTTGTTCTATGTCTCGGCATGTTTGTATATATATGAATACCTGGGAAACACAGTACAGGTTGCAGACATTCTACTCTGGGTCATATGAACGAGGGTGGTGACCTCTGTCAGCCCACCAGGAAAACCAGACCAAGAATCAACTCCACATGAAGGCTACAACTATTTTTACTGAGGGTGGCTATAATAATGGAATCTTGCAAGTCTGATTATGCTGTGCTTTCTCAGCGAGTGGAGCAGTGGTTAGAATGCAGTACTGCAGCCTAATTCTGCCCACTGCCAGGAGTTCGATCCTGACCAACTCAAAGTTTAATTAATTATAATAATAATAAAGTTGGAAGGGAAATGAGGACCCCAGATTGTTGGGGGAAATATGATGACTCTGTAAACCACTTAGAGAGTGCTATTAAACACTGTGAAACGATATAGAAGTCTCTATTGCTATTGCTATTATACCTATGTGAATTATGTGCTTATGCATATGTTCCAATTTTTTATTTTTTTTGGGGGGTGGACTTAAGCTATGTTTTGGTAAGACTTTGGTAACACACTCTATAGTCAGCAGCATTCTGAGCTATGGCCCAAAGGGACATTGGAGGGTTTTGGTAAGGATGTTTTTTTTGCAGCAGAACTTGGCCTTATCTAGTTCTTTTTCCAGCTTCTCCCACTATACTATATATAATTTATTTCCAATATTTCACTGTGTTGGAAAGAATAAAAGCGAGCATTTAATGACAAATCTCTGCTATTCAAAAAGCTGTGCTTCCTAGTTGCATTGGAAATACCTCTTGGTTTGGAAGAGAAAAACATCTCCCAAACGAGGAATCCATTTAAACATATTCCATAATGAGTTTTGTTTTTGGTATATCAGAGAACTCTTCCATTCACACCCAAAACTCTTGCTGTAGTCAATCTATGACTATACTGTGATTGTTAACAGCTTATATTATTTTAAAAATAAAATGCAATGGTCAGCACAGCTTTTACACCATATGCCTTAGCCTAAACTCATATGTTTGCTTATGTGCTACTTACTGACATGTGGTTTTAATGAAGCAAGTGTTTTAACTGAAAATAAATCTGTCTTTTGGTGGACTTCTGTCTTCATTTTTAGTGCAGATGTGGTTTAAATGTCAAAAGGAAAAGCAATCTAAATTCCAACACATGAGGGTTATGATTATACATTTGTTCAGGAGCAAATTCCACTAAAATGCATTGGGATCTATTCTCCCATAGGATATAAAATGGATTGCACCAAAGATTTAGTGTTGATAGAATTATAAGCTGTTCTTCTATAGGAATTATCACCAAAGGAAGCCAGCTTTCCTCTTTACAGTATATCTAATACTTAGAGTGTATAAAAATCTGAATGTAACTCCAAGGGCTATTACATGACTTCTGAAATTGTTAAAACAATACATCTAACAGAATAGAAATACTGATGTTCTAAAACTAGGATTAGCAAAACATTGAAAATGTTTGGTCAGTTTAGGCAAATGGTTTTGAAATGCAGATGTTTATTGACAAAAGAAAAAAATAAATTAAAATATTCCCAATTTGCATTGGATTCAGTTAGATTCCAGGGCAATATCAGGGTATGAATATGTTTCATCATATAAATATAAATGAAATAAAACACAGTTATTTTGGTTAAGATAAACCAGATGATCCAATAAGTTTAGCTAAACCATATGCCATGGTGGCACAGTGGTTAGTATTACAGGCTAACTCTGCTGGCTGCCAGCAGTTCAATCCTGACCAGTTCAAGGTTGACTCAGCCTTCTACTTTTCTGAGGTAAGTAAAATGAGGACCCAGATTGTTGGGAGCAATATGCTAATTTTGTAAGCTACTTAGAGAGGGATGTAAAGCACTAGGAAGTGGAATATAAATCTAAATGCTATTGCTACTGCTACGGCTACAGCTATGCATCAAGGCCTAGTCAGAATGATGTCAAGATGCTGAACTGTGCATTGTGACATTAAGCTGTAAGCTTCATCCTTTCAAACATACATCACAACATTGCATACAAGCCAATAGCGGATGGAAACTGCACCACAACCTCATAATGTGTTCTTAAGACTGCCAATTTAACAATCAAGAAACTGGTAGCTTTTTTTAATGCTACTACTAAAGTAGAAAAATATTCAGCTGGGAAGATGATAGCAAGATATTCACTAAGATCATGTTAAGGTAGGCTATATTAACCAGATATTCACCTTTTTTCTTACCTTCTGGCTTCAAGTACAGGTAGTCCTCAACATAAAATGATTCATTTAGTGACCATTTGAATTTACAATGGCACTGGAAAAAGTAACTTGTAACCATTTTCCACATGACCATTGCAGCTTCTCCATGGTCACACAATCAAAATTCGGGCATTTGACAACTGGCATGTATTTATGACAGTTGCTTTATCCCAGAGTCATGGGATCACCATTTGTAACCTGAAGCCAGATTCACTTCACAACCTTGTAATTCAGTTAACAACTGCAGTTGTGGCAAAAACAAGGTTATAAAATGGGGGCAAAACTCACTTAACAACTGCCTTGCTTAGCAATGGAAATTTTGGGTTCAGTTGTGGTCATAAGTCGAGGACTGCCTGTATTAGTTTTCAATCTTCAAGTAGTGGCAATTTTTTTTTAATCTGAGCCTGGCTAATAGTGGTTAGTTGAAGTTAATACTTTTAGGAAAGTAAGCCAGCTTCAAGTCATGGTATCTGTTGCTTATTTCTCAGAATTGTAGTTGGTCTTACTTTTCACTTTCATTTTAATATTATACTCAGCTGACAATAGACTAATTTCATCAATTCTCTACACTGTAACAATAAATCAAGCTGCATTGATTTGTTGCTCATAATTTAGCATTAAAATCTTAGGCAGCAGAACAGATGTAGGGATATGAAGTTATAGTTGACAGATATATGGGTGAGACAACAGAGATTTGTTCAAGGGCATGGAAGACTCCCATATTATTCTGTTCTTGCACAAACTGGCCAGGAAATCATGTAGCTTAGCTTTATAAGACAGCTTGATGTTAGATATTTAATGCAGAGAATGTAACACAAGAAATACGTCTTTTAAACATTCTCATTTAATCACAAGAAAATAACCACATGCTGTATAACTAATTAATTTCAGAGGAGCATTATATAAAAAAAGCTGCATTGTACAGAAATTCCATAGCATAATCATGTACAA